TATCGGACTTCCTGGGGGTCCAGTGGTTAAGACTCTACTCTTAGCTTGGGCGGCGGGAGCAGAGGCAGCGGTCAGGCTATTCGGCTTCGCGAAGGCTCTCGGCGCGGCGCGGCCCTCAGGCACCCGGCTCTCGCCTCGCCCGCCCCGATGCCCAAGAGGAAGGTCAGCTCCGCCGAGGGTGCGGCGAAGGAGGAGCCCAAGAGGAGATCGGCGAGGTTGTCAGCTAAACCGGCTCCTGCAAAAGTGGAAACGAAGCCAAAAAAGGCGGCGGGAAAGGATAAATCTTCAGACAAAAAAGTGCAAACAAAAGGGAAAAGAGGAGCAAAGGGAAAAGAGGAGCAAAGGGAAAACAGGGAAGTGGCCAACCAAGAGACTAAAGAAGACTTGCCTGCAGAAAATGGAGAGACTAAAAACGAGGAGAGCCCAGCCTCTGATGAAGCAGAAGAGAAAGAAGCCAAGTCTGATTAATAACCACACGCTCAGTCCTGTCAGTGGTCCCTGTTTCCCTTCTTGTACAATCCAGAGGAATATTTTTATCAACTAATTTTGTAAATGCAAGTTTTTTAGTAGCTCTAGAAACATTTTTAAAAAGGAGGGAATCCCACCTCATCCCATTTTTAAAGTGTAAATGCTTTTTTTTAAGAGGTGAAATCATTTGCTGGTTGTTTATTTTTTGGTACAACCAGAAAATAGTGGGATATTGGATATGGGAGGCTTTGATTGTCTTGGGTGTCAGCTTAACATTCCATAGATGGGGGGTAGCTTTTATATCCTATAATACAAAAGCATACTAAATGGCAGTTTGGAGTCAGTTGTGCATTTAATGTCCTGAACACTTTAAATTACTTCTCTTCCCATATTGTTTTGGTAGAATTATTTCCTACAGCAAACCACTTTTTGATCTTGGCTCTCCTGGTCAGAATTTTGTGCACTATACTATAACATCTTTGGTCGTGGTAGTCCAGTTTTCCTAGTAACTTGGTTAATGTGCTGTGAAAGATTGACAGTTTGGGTATGTAGTGTATATGATATTAAATTGTGAATCAGTGGGACTTATGATGTAACAACATATCAATATTTGAAGATATTGGTACTTGATATCCTGATAAGGAAAGTTTGCTCCAAATTTTAAGCTGGAAAGTCACTGGAATAACTGTTAAGAATCACAACTACATGATATTTTAGATTTCTGGTACGTATGTGAGAATTGTGTACAAACTGAAATGTCTGTGTAGTGATCCTCAAAACAACCAATAAAATCTCAGTTATAAAAAAAAAAAGACTCTACTCTTCCACTGCCAAGGGGCATAGGTTCCATCCCCAGCCAAGGAACTAAGATCCTGGATGCCTCATGGCAGGGGCCAAAAAACAAAAACTGTTTGATATTAACCTTAGACCTAGAAGAATTAATTTAGGTATTCAAAGTTGATACTTAAATAAGCTCACAAACAGCTGTGAAGAGTGTAAACTGGTTTGAACCTTATGGAAAACAATTTGGCCTTTCACTGGTCATTTTACACCTGAGAATATAGAAAAATGAAAGATGCACCACAATACAAGATCATGGATATTCATCACATCATAATCAGCAATGAACTGTCATAAACAAAAATGAAAGACTGAATAAATTGCAATTAAATGCCATGTTTTAAAGATTTGTATTAAATGTTAACCATAGAAAATTAAGAAGGCTTCAAGATTCAAAACTATTTTGTTTTATACAAAAGATGAATATGGATAAGCAGGTGTGCATAAAAATTTCTAGGGGAAAGACTAAGAAACAAAATATCAGTAAGTGTGGTTGGCTAATAAAAACAAATCTTATTCTTCTTGCTTTATAGTTTTAAATTTCTTACAAAAATAGAAAAAATGTATATTCTTCTACAAAATCCACAACAATTACCAACACCCATATTGGTAAAAGTCACCAATATCCATATCCTTATACCCTACCTGCAAACTGCTATGAAACACTAAACCGCAGATGAAATTTAAAGTATATACCCAATGAGAACATGAAAACTCGACTTTTCTCTACAAGGTGGGCCTTCTCTCTGGGCAAAACTTCCTGGCTGGGCTCAGTTCATCATTCCCTTGGTAGCAGTTGGGTACAGAACGAAATCACTAAGGTACCTCAGGCTTTGAACACAAGACGGCTATTATTATGGTCAACAACTAAGTCTGCAAACTCTGAACCCACTCTCCTCAGGATCCTCATTCCCCACCATGGATGGAACCCGCCTCCCCCCCGCCCCCCCCCCCCCGCCCCCGGCACTACAAGAGCAGAGTCTTAACCACTGATCTGCCAGGGAAGTCTGGACCCCTTTTCAAAAGATTATACTGAAGTAACAATGCCAGTGGGAGGAGTGGCTTAAAGCAGTTGCCAGAAAAAAATTTAAAAAGCAGCTGCCAGCATCAACCTGCCACCAGAATCACCTGGAATGCTTCTTTAAGCCTCATCCCCAGAGCTTCTAATTTTACAGAACTGATCTAGAATGAGTGCAGGAAAAGTGCATTTCTAACAGGCTCCCAGGTCCATACAGTCAAAGCTATGGTTTTTCCAGTAGTCATGTATGGTTATGAGAGTTGGACCATGAAGAAGGCTGAGCACCGAAGAATTGATGCTTTTGAACTGTGGTGTTGAAGACTCTTCAGAGTCCCTTGGACTGCAAGAAGATCAAACCAATCCATCCTAAAGGAAATCAATCCTGAATATTTATTGGAAGGACTGATGGTGAAACTGAAGCTCCAATACTCTGGCCACCTGATGTGAAGAGCTGACTCATCAGAAAAGACCCTGATGCTGGCAAAGACTGAAGGCAGGAGGAGACAGGGACGACAGGATGAGATGGTTGGATGGCATCACGTCCTCGATGGACATGAGTTTGAGCAAACTGCGGGAGATGATGAAGGACAGGGAGGCCTGGTGTGCTGCAGTCCATGGGGTCGCAAAGAGTCGGACACAACTGAGCGAATGAACAACAACAGGAAACCAGATCTGAAAGAGATACGTGCACCCCAATGTTCATCGCAGCACTGTTTATAATAGCCAGGACATGGAAGCAACCTAGATGCCCAACAGCAGACGAATGGATAAGGAAGCTGTGGTACATATACACCATGGAATATTACTCAGCCATTAAAAAGAATTCATTTGAATCAGTTCTAATGAGATGGATGAAACTGGAGCCCATTATACAGAGTGAAGTAAGCCAGAAAGATAAAGAACATTACAGCATACTAACACATATTTATGGGATTTAGAAAGATGGTAATGATACCCTATATGCAAAACAGAAAAAGAGACACAGATGTATAGAACAGACTTTTGGACTCTGTGGGAGAAGGCGAGGGTGGGGTGTTTCGAGAGAACAGCATCGAAACATGTATATTATCTAGGGTGAAACAGATCACCAGCCCAGGTTGGATGCATGAGACAAGTGCTCGGGCCTGGTGCACTGGGAAGACCCAGAGGGGGTAGAGAGGGAGGTGGGAGGGGGGATTGGGATGGGGAATACATGTAAATCCATGGCTGATTCATGTCAATGTATGGCAAAAACCACTACAATATTGTAAAGTAATTAGCCTCCAACTAATAAAAATAAATGAAAAAAAAAAGAACAACAGGCTCCCAGGTGAGGACGCTGCAGGTCTGAGAGCTGTACTTTGAGAACAGCCGCTCTAAACCTTGATTATAGATGTTTCACATGCATCATCTCCCACAGCAAGAACCTGAATTATCAAGAACAAAGGTGTGTTTGGAATCACCTTCTTTATGCATTTAGGAACAAGTAAGCATACCAACAGAAACAGTTACACACAGGTTACAACAGTTACAAGTTAAACAGTTATAACAGTTAACAGAACTGCAGTTACCCACACAGGAATCACAGGCTCATAAGTCAGACTGCCTAGTCCAGGATCCCACTTCACCACTTACTCACCATGTGATGTAGGCAACTTCCTCAACCTCTATGCTTCAGTACCTTCAGCTGTAAAAGATAATAGCTCCATCTGCTCCCACAGGAAAACTGGAAATGGGTGCCTACCACAATCAATGAGAGGTCCTCACCTTCCATTTCCATGCATATATTTTTAAAATTCACAAAAACGGTCTTGGAGAGTTCCTTGTCCTGCCTGAAAGCGAGAGATCTGGACAAGACCCCACAGGCTTCATTCAGGGACCCCAAGCCCAGAGTGGTCCTCAAAGATAGAAGGGCAAATAAATATTCACAATAGGGAAAGCAGTTGGTCAAAATACCTACGCCGGTGGTCGCTGTGTCCCAGGCAAAAGCAAAACATGTTCAAGAATAGTGTCCCCATTCATTACATAAAAATTGTTTCTTTAACCACTACAAATTTGCCTTAATTAGGTACCAGACGCACACAGACAGACGGAGGGAGGGATAGACAGGGTCACAGACAGAGCCGGGTGCAACTGGCCGGCAGATGGCACATAAGGAATATGGTTAAAAGTGGGGACATTATTGGAAAACGGCAATTGGTCCAGGGCTTTAATTACATAAAGAAAGCTGCTTATAGCTGCTTGCTTAGGGGGGGGGGGGAAACGGAAGAAAAAAAAAAGCGCAGTTCTAGCTCAGAAGAGCGAATTCCCAGCGGGGAGAAGCGGGGTGGTCCGGTCCTTTCTCCGGCTGGGGGGTGACTTCCCCTGGGCAGCCTCCGTTCTCCGCCTCCCCGCCTCCGGCTCCAGCTGCTCCCCCCGGCTCCGGGAACCGGAGGCTGCCGGAGCGGCGAGCAAATATACTGGGACAGCCGGCGACCCCGCGACCACGTCCCCCTCCTCCGCCTGCTCCCCCTACCCCCCGCAAGCCGGCAAGCCGGCGGGGACCACGCGGCCGGCGCGGGGCAGCCCCAACGGCGGCAAGAAGCCGGACGGCCTGGGGGAGAGCGGAAAGCGCCTCTGCCCCCGAAAGGCGAAGGCGGCATCAGGTACCCGCCCCACGGCGGCGGCGGTATCACAGCCCAGGCGGGGCGCTCACCAGAAGAACACGCGCGAGCAGAGGTTCGCGTTCCGCAGCGGGTTGGGTTTCACCTCCGGGTACACCGGTTGCATCTTGCCGGCCGGGGCGAGCGCGGTTTGGGATCCAGCCGCTGGGGCGTTGGTGCCGCCCGCTGCGCCGGGAGGTGTTGGCCGGGATGCTGGATTTCAGGCCGCCGCGCCGGTCCGCACAGCGGGAGCCGGAAGCCGAGCGCCTGCGGCCCGCCGGGTCCCCGCCTCCCTAGGCCGCGCCGCCTCCCGGGCCCGCCTGGAGGACGCCGGCAACGCTTCGCAGCCGGATCGCCGGGAGCCCAGAGCCACAGGCCGCGAGTGGGGGCGGCGGCGGCGGCGCCAAATGTTGGCCGGGGCTGAGGTTGCCCGGAGGCGGCCGAAGGTGCGAGGCGAAAGGAGGGTAAACGGACCGCCCAGCACACGGGGCTCAGAGCCTAGGCGTCCACGTGCTCGCACCTGGCCGCGAACGCGGCCTTAGTTATTGCTCCCTGCCCGGGTACCGCCCCTCCCCACCAAGAACGTGGAGAGGGGAGGTGCGGTATCTGCCCGCCCCCGCTGCTCGGAAACGCCCCCTCGGCTGCAGTTTTGCAAATATCCTGAAAAAAGCTGGCTGAAGGCGTGTACAGTTGGCGCTTCAGGCATCCTGTCCTCTTGGGACCAAACTACGGTCCTCTGGGAAGTCCTCCGACGTACGGCCAAGCCTTTGACGTCGGACAACAGCAGGGTTTAGCACAGATTGTGTTTGCAGAGCGTCAAGAGCCAAAGAAAAGTAACAGGATTCGAAGAACTCAAAACGATTTTGGAAGATGAGTGAATGTTGCCACTGGGGTCAGGCTGTTGGCATCTCGTGTTGCTGCATTGTGTAGGGACCTTTGCGTGCGTTTTGCTGCCCTTTTAGATTAGGAGGGATTCCCAGGTGGCCCTATTGGTGAAGAACCCGCCTGCCAAAGCAGGAGACCTAAGAGACCGGGAGGGGGATGGTGGTTCGATCCCTGGGTGGGGGAGATCCTCTGGAGGCGGGCATAGCAACCCAGTTGCTCCCTATTCGCCAGTATTCTTGCCTGGAGAATCCCCACGGACAGAGGAGCCTGGGGGGCCACAGTCCTTACCGTCGTACACGGTCGGACGGGACTGAAGCCCACGCTTACGCGTATATTGGGAAAGGGAATCTGCAGAGAGAGAGGGTCACTTATGATTTCTTTCATCCTGTACTCAGTTCCTGGTGGACTAACAGTGACAATGTCACGAAACGTCAAGTTGGTTCTCATTTCTGGGGACCTGACCTGACTTTTAACTATGTTGTTGTTTAGTCGCAAGGTCGGGTCTGCCTCTTGTGGTGCTAACTAGACTGTAGCCAGCCCTCCAGGCTCCTCTGTCAATGGGCTTTACCCAGGCAAGATTACTGGAGTGAGTTGCCATTCCCTTCAGGGGATCGTCAGGATCCAGGTCTCCTGCATTGGCAGGCCAATTCTTTACCACTGAGTCACCTGGAAAGCCAACTTCTAACTATAAGGATGCCCTAATTAAGTACATATTATCATTCCTATTTCACAGATGAGGCTTAAGGACAGAACTTGTCCAAGGTCTTAAAAATCAATAAATGATGAATTCTGATTTGGATTCATAGTTCAGCCTGGTCTGGTGGATGGAGAGTGTGTGTGGACAGGTATCTAGAATACACTGAATGAATAATTTGGACCAAATGAACAAAAACTTTGACTCCCTCTAAGTGTTTAGTTATTTGTGTGAACTTCTTACCAGCTCAGCAGTTTCTGGTCCCTTCCACCCTAAATGAAGAAAGATCAAAGTTCTTGGTGCTTATAACAAGATCACTTTGATAATTTCCCATGTACCTTGACTAAAATCATGTTTGTTAATAATGACAACACAACTTTGTAAACCAACAATGTGTGCACGTGTGCTAAGTCGTTTCAGTTGGGTCCCATACTTCAATTTAAAAAAAAAAAAAACCGCTTTTAGCTTCAGTTATTCAGGTTGAATAAGTTTGTAACCAAGCAAAACTGCTGCAGGGGCCTCCTGAGCACAAAAGCCTTTCTTTTTTTTATCCCCCATTTCTGATTTGTTAGATACAAACTTCAGACTTCTAAACCTCCCTGTTCCAAAAAGCAAATTCAAATAGTTGCTAATAGAAACAAAGGAGGAAACCAAAGTGCAGTGATTAAAGCAGGATCCTGGTTCCTCCTCAAGGAATAAACATAACAATATCTTTGAGTTCTTCCACAAGAACTAAGCCCCCACCCCCCACCCACCCACGAAGATGGTTACTTTAGGCTGGGCAAGGGATTCCTGGAGCACTGCTCTGTTAGGTCACCAGCAACCAATCAGAAGAAAGTCACTCATCCTGCAGCCCTCACCCCAAATTTTGCCTATAGAAATGTCGACCCCAAAATCATCTGGGAGTTTGGGGTTTTTGAGTGTGAGCCGTCCATCTCTGTCTATAACTCAATTTTTCGGTTTTCATGAAACAACCATCTCTGCCGTAGTGACACTTCTTGATCCATTTGGGGGTTTTTATTGTGTTTTCCTGTATTGTCTAAAATAAATGAATGGAAAATGGAGAAAATAGTATGCTACATTAACATTAACAATGCAGTTAATGCAACCAGAGAGCATGAAGTAGAAGGAAGGAGATGCCTCTTCAGTCTGGTTTGGATGCATATTGGAAGTGAGCTGGTTCATTATATGTTTAATTTTAAACAAAAAAGGAATTTTTTTGAATTTGTGAAATGGCTATAACAGCTTTATTCATAACTCCCAAAATTTGGAAATAACCAAGATGCCCTTCAGTAAATGAATGGATAAATAAATTGGCCCAGCCAGACAATGGAATATTATTTGACACAAAAAGGACATGCATGCACCAAACCATGAATGCAAGGGAGGAAACAATGCTTACTAGTAAGTGAAAGAGGCACAAGTGGCAGATAACCCACCTGCCAATGCAGGAGACATAAGAGATGTGGGTTCGATCCCTGGATCAGGAAGATCCCCTGGAGGAGAGCAAGGCAACCACTACAGTATTCTTGTCTGGAGAATCCCATGGACAGAGGAACCTGGTGGGCTACAGTCCATAGGGCCCAAAGAGTAAGACATGACTGAAGGGACTTGTTAAGTGAAAATTCAATCTGAAAAGGCTACATACTGTGTAAAGCTAACTATATGCCCAAAAAAGCAAACCACGGATATAATAAAAAGATCAATGGTTGCCAGAGGTTGGAGATGGGAATGAGGGATGAATGGTGGTGCACAGAGGAATTTTGGACAATAAAAATACCTTGTATCATTCAATAATGATGAAAATGTCATTATATATTTTTCTGAAACCAATCAAGAAAATTAGAAGGGCAGATTTAGCTTTTCTCATGTCAACTGTTTAAAATACAGTATATAGCATTACCAAAGTTATCATCATAATCTGGTTTCCATCCCTTTAAAATTATCATCAGTTCCATTTTTTCTTCATTAAAATTATTTGGTTTATTAAATATTAAGCCAAAATAAATACAACTTGAGGTAAGAAAGATATTTATAAAATTAATTGGTATTGCATAGTGTTAATGTTTAACCTTTGTTTTCATTAGTCATAGATAGGCTCAGACGGTAAAGAATCTGCCTGCAATGCAGGAGACCTGGGTTCCCTCCCTGGGTCGGGAAGATCCCCTGGAGGAGTGCATGGCAACCCACTCCAGTATTATTGCCTGAAGAATCCCATGCACAGAGGAGCCTGGTCAGCTACAGTCCATGGGATCACAAAGAATCAGACACAACTGGGAGACTAAGCACAGCACAGATATATAACATTCAGGGATTTAAAAGCAGAAGCACTCTTCCCAAACATAATAAACTGAACAAATTTTTTGTTTTCTGAACAGACTTCCTTTCATTCCTTTTAGATATGAGCTCTCAGGGAAGCTGAAAGTGTAAAAGTAGCAAATTGAATCTAAATGAAATGTATATTGTTCCCTGGTAGCCCAGTGGCTGGGACTCTGAGCTCCCAAAGCAGCAGACCAAGGTTGATCCCTGGTCAGGTAACTATCCCCCGTGCCACAACTAAGACTGACCACAGCCAAATAAATAAATAAAAAGAATTGTATATTTCATATCCTCATACAGCTTCAGTCAGTCAGTTCAGTCATTCAGTCATGTCTGAGTCTTGCTACCCCATGGATTGCAGCATGCCAGGCTTCCTTGTCCATCACCAACTCCCAGAGCTTGCTCAAACTCATGTCCATCAAGTTGGTGATGCCATCCAACCATCTCATCCTCTGTCATCCCCTTCTCCTTCTGCCTTCAATCTTTCCTAGCATCAGGATCTTTTCCAGTGAGTCAGTTCTTCGCATCAGGTGGAAGTTTCAGCTTCAACATCAGTCCTTCCAATGAACACCCAGGACTGATCTCTTTTAGGATGGACTGGTTGGATCTCCTTGCAGTCCAAGGGACTCTCAAGAGTCTTCTTCAACACCACAGTTGAAAAGCATCAATTCTTCGGTGCTTAGCTTTCTTTATAATCCAACTCTCTCATAGAGCTTACAACTGAGCAATTTCCATCCTTAGAGTCCAAACTTTGAGTGAAGGCTTTCATTACAATGTAAATAATGGAAATAAAGTTCACTGTGTTCCAATATTAAAACAAAAAAATGTTGGCAAAATGATACCTGCTTTTTAATTCACTAAGTTTGTCATAGATTTTCTTTTAAGCAGCAAATATCTTTTAATTTCATGACTGCAGTCACCGTCCACAGTGATTTTGGAGCCCAAGAAAATAAACTCTGTCACTGCTTCCACTTTTCCCCTTATATTTTCCATAAAGTGATGGAACTGGATGCCAAGATCATAATTTTTTTAATATTGAGTTTCAAGCCAGCTTTTTCACTTTCTTCTTTCACCCTCATCAAGAGGTTCTTTAGTTCCTCTTCAGTTTCTGCCATTTGAGTGTATCATCTGCATATCTGAGGCTGTTGATATGTCTCTCTGCAATCCTTATTTTGGCTTGAGAGAGGCTTCTGAGAGGTTAGTAATTTGAAGACAGAAGAGTAACAATTACATCTGGCAAAGATGAGGTATTTGTTGACTTAGCAAAAGCAGTATTTTAAAGAGAGTGGTAGAAACCCTATAAGATGTGTGGAGCAGAGAATGGTGTGTGAAAGTGTGGAGACAATGGTTGTACACAGCTCCTGTGAGAAATTTTGCTCTAAGGAGGAACAGAAAATAGAAGAAGTAACTACAGACTTACAGACATAGGGAGAGGGAGGAGAGGGTGAGATGTGTGGAGAGAGTAACATGGAAATTTATATTACCATATGTAAAAGTGTTGGAGAAGACTCTTGAGAGTCCCTTGGACTGCAAGGAGATCAAACCAGTCAGTCCCAAAGGAAATCAGTCCTGAATATTTATTGGAAGGACTGATGCTGAAGCTGAAACTCCAATACCTTGGC